TTCCCCAATCTCGTTTCAATGTTGGTCAGGGCTCGCCCACATGGGGGCATTATACTCCATAACAGTCAGTGAATAATGTAAATAAAAATGTTGATTTTCAGTCGCATTTCATTGCGAGAATAAAATGAAGGAATCCGGCAATTGATCGGTTAAATACGCATACGTTAAATCGTTTCAATGTTGAGGTACCTGCTGGCATAAAGAATTGCCCTTAGCACCTGTCTTCGACTTCCTTAAAAAAATGTGCTGTCACAATAGACCCTAAGGATTTACAGTCTGGTTTCTTGGCTTTCAGCTGTTTTAAATTGGTTAGAAACTAGGTAATCACTAAACTATTTTAAACAGCCTTGATATTACCTATGCATATTTGCGTATTTTTAGCAAGGAGACATAATGGCGGTGAATTTAATTGCCTGTATATTGATAACGTGTTATAGTACTACGTAAAATAGGTCTCATAAATAAGCTAACTTTTATGTATACAATGCCGTCTTTAAATATGAAACGTTTCTAATGCCGTCATTGCAATGTTAGTTTAATACCATCCAATCACAATACTTAAAAAATGATGAATCAATCGACATCTAATTGTGCAGTTGCAAGCTAAACTGATGTATAATTAAGTAGTAAAAACGCCTGTGGTAATAAGTTTCAGCACTTTTAAACAGCATTTTATGACGAATCGGTCATTGCAAAATGTTCGTTCAGCACATGTGACTCATGCAGGCCATTCATCAAAGAATGTCCATTACATCTTTCTTGCACCAACACTTTCCCCCTGTACTGTCACAAACAGTTGCAACATCCCCCTTTTACACTCAGTGCTAGGGAGATATTGATCGTCATTTTAATATGCAAAGCGCGTTGGTGTTCATTGAGAAAAGAAACGTTTGTATTTTTTTACCAAGTAAAGTCGAAAAAGTATATAAATTATATGTGAATTGGCTTGTAAACGTATGAGAAAAGAATTGTTGAATTAATATTGAACACGTTTTCTCACGAATAGTGTTGCGAAAACATACCGCAGTGTATTTGTGAAAGCGCCAGCTTGAACTCAATTTTGCAACAAAAAGTGTCCACATCTTATATTATGCTTCCACCATTTTATGACTAGAAACATGTGGCTGGTGTTTTCTCAATCGCCACAACGGACTCAAAAATTCAATTAGAAAATAAACAACCAAAGAGTGTTCATGTTTAGAGCAACAAATATTGCAACTGTATCTCTGAAACTGACACAAGTAGCCGATATGATATTTGATATGAAAATGAGCGGAGAAAAGTTTTCTAGCAAAAATTTCACGAATAAATTCTTAACATCCGATAATTGCTTTCTACATACCTACTCATCTTGTTTCATTTTTCGAAGATATAACTCAATAAGGAGTTTCAGTTTCGCATTAATGAAGAGAAAATTTATTATAAGGAATACGTCTTTGAGGCGGATTATGTGCAATTTAATCGGACTTTGCCTGGATAGAAATGAACAACTACAGAGTGACCTCGCAAAAACGGAGAGCTGATATTATTGCAAAAATCGACCCTTTGCTAAATTTTCGTTCAAAAATACCAATTTCACATGCATGTTTTTTGAACTCAATGCATCGCTTTCCATCTAAGGAGCCCCCCAAAGGGCATATATAAAGTATTTGGGTTTATAATAAGGAAATATCGTCGGTTAAAAATCATGACCGCTCAAAACTGCATAAACTGGTCGAAAATGTCGATTTGTTCGGATCTGAAGCTGCTGGCGTGTTTTTCAATGAGTTCATTGAATTGTCCGCTGCCCTCAGATGAAAATTAGAATATTCGAAATTCGAAACATTTTCAGATAATTGATAAACCTTCTACCTCTTATGAAACTTTGCGTTAAACCCCTTGCAGTATTACAGTAAGAACGCGGTTGATTCTTAAAACGGCTAAATGAAATGTCCTTATCAGCACGCTTTGCACATAATATGTTGTTGACTCGTGATTTTCATAATTAGTCAAAACATTGTAAAGTTTATTTCGTCTGTAGGCCGCTGCTTGATGGCCTTATACCAAACAACTTAAAATACTCACATAAATAATGGCTTTGTAGGGGAACATTTTATAGATCGGGTACGCTCTCAGGGTACGCTGGTTCGGTGCAACGGCATGAGGTAATTCACACTTCAGAACATATGCTTCCATTTACTTTAGAAAATCAAACCGTTGTTTACTGGTTTAGATGATTTGAACAGAATTTTAGTGAAATCTCCCTTATTTTTACAGCAGCAAAATGTGCTTCGGTTTCTCATGCTACTTACTGCCGGCGTCTATAGACCGAACATGAGGTGAATGAATCAGAAAAAATGCATTCGCGATATGAAAACCCCATTAAAAGGACCGTAAAGATATCGGACAATGGGTCTAAGATTAAGAATGTATTTGCACCTGGAACTAATCCCAGCAGTAAAGTTTAGTAGAGACCTGAACCAGACGGTTTTCACATAAATCACCCCTTTGAATTAGTGGCACGCAATATGAATCAATTCCAAAAATGGGGTACACGATACGATGTTATCTAAAATCGAATTTCCACCGCTACATAGCTCTTTAATATACCGATAAGTTTGGCGAAATCGGATGATAAATACATAATTTTCATGAAAATAACACTTAACCAAATAACAATTTCTATGAAGTAGCAATTGTGCATGTGTTTTTATCATAAGTAGTTTTTTGTAATAGATAATGATAACCCAATATAATAGAAACCACTATCTGAAAGTAACTCATTCGAACAATGAGCAGTAAAATAGATATTCCAAAGTGTAAATGCTCAAAATTCTTCCAGAAACAGTAGCAACGGAAACAAAGCCATTCAGATAACCAGCTCCAATCCTTTTGAAAAGTGGAGATAATAGGCTCTAATCACTCTTGTCTAGCCAGTATAAGAGTACACAGTTGCTCGATTAGGGCAGGGTTGACAACCTTAATGTGTGGAAAACCAATAGGCTTCCACTGCAAGGCAAGACAACCAAACACTTGAGAAATCGAGGCAAAATGTACTTTTGCTCAATTTCTCTCTTCAAAAAAGTATCGTAAAACAACGGTGAACAAAATAGTGTAAGTGTGTTTCTCCGAATCATATGTGCTGAAAATTGAAGGCAAGCAAAGCACATTTGATAATTAGGAAAATACTACTTTTGCTTAATTTCTTGTCCTCTTAATTTTCTAATGAAAATATTATTGGCCGCCACATGAGAAGCGCAAACATGCAAAAAAACGCAATAATAACAGAAACAAAGTTGCACTTTCTTACTGGGATGTTGGGAGCATTTAAAAATTGTTGCTAACTGTATTGTTTGCGTTAAATCCTGTTTGTTATTGACGTTTTGCAATTTTTTGCTCATGTTCTTGTGTTCGCTTTGTCCATAAAATGTATTTCAGATTTTCTGTGGCAATCAAGCATATTTTGATTTGAAAGGCCAAACACGATAAAATTTCGAAGAATCTCAGATATACACACAAATCTATAGGGAACGAAGCGTTAACCAATCTCTTGAGAAATTTGGATTTTCATATTTTAAATACGCCCAGAGACCGAACCTTTCACGGCGGTTTACAATCGATCCACTGTATACCAGGGCAAAAATGAGGCAATACAAGCTTCGCAAACCACATAAAACAGAGCGAAATGTGGTGAAAAATATGATTGGCTCCGAATACTCTGTTGTCCTTTTAAATCTCAAAACTTGGAAAGTTTGTTTAAAAAGACGGAAAAGAATGGGTAAGTGGAGAACTGAAGTCGCTGCTTTTGCAAACTTGGGTGATTATTTCAAGAAACCCACTTTGTACTCCCATAGGACTTTGACTGAATAATTGCCTAAATTTATACTGATTTGAGTGATTTCACAGCTTAATCAGAATGGATCAATAAGCTAGTGGGAGGTGTGATCTGAGCCAGCGATTAAATGCCCCAAAAAAACCCCAATCCGGAGACTGTTTATTTAAATAAACCTTCTAAGGAGATATTTTGCGCGTGATTTCCTTTGAACTCAATATCGAAAGTGGCATTGAACCACACAGAACGACAGAAATTGTCGCTGGCTTCGAAGGCTTTAGAGAGGATCATTGAATCTTTGCAGAGATAAAATTGAGCCTTCTATCAGAACTTTCGAGCACAGATTTGATGAGCTGAATATAAGTACATATTACAAAATCGGTAGTTCACGATTCATTGACTAAGTAAATAATGGTGATGATGATGTCGACTCAAGTTTAGACCCAAATATGGGCAATGACTGGCTGAGAGACATTTCCCGCTTAAAATTGAAGTTAAATTGAAGACAAATTATTTATTCACAATTAGATTTTTTGATTGCCGTAGTTAAACCTCGTTTTACAACTCAAGCCCTACTCCTTTTACCTTTTACAACTCAAGAATTTAAATAATTAGATTGATTGGGTCTGTTAAAGAAATGAGCCCGATGTCCCAGTTAGATTAACAAAAGGATATCTTGAAAAGTTGTGTCTTTCAAGGAAAAAGCCATGGGACTCAAAAAGATTGACCCACAAAGTGGAAATGTCCTTCCTAGTTACTAAACAAAAACGTCCATGATAAATCTGAAGAATGAATTAAAAATGTGATACATACATTGGTGGCCAGAAGGTTAAGTGGAATGAGTAACAATCTGTGACTCAGAATAAGATTGAAAAATTCTGCTTCATTTAAAGAATTTGAATAATTTTGCATAAACAAAAAAGCAAAAATTATGTTCAAATCTTCAAATTTCGGGGTGATCAAACGTGATTTAAAAACATGTTGGCGAACAATGGCGAGCATAAATAAATAAACATTATTAATTTGAGCAAGTAAACAAGTTTTAAAAGCCAAATTGGGCGTTGCTACAACAAATGCGAATATCTCATTGAACCAATGAATGTCAAGTGTCAAAACACGGGACATAAACATATTGGTTAGATTCAAATCGATGTTTGTGAAAAATCCAAGAAAGTAAATTGCTGCTTACCTCGCTCAATCTCTCAGTGATCTCCTGCTGCTCCTCTTCGGTAAGTCTCTGTGAATCCAGAATGGAAGCCATTGTATAAAGTTTGTAAACCACACTCAAAAAATCCGGTCTCACTACAACTAAACGTTAGAATACGCGGAAAAGGCACGGGAGGAGGCCTGCCCGGAACGTTCACTTCTTTCGTTTGAAGCTCGTTTCACAGGCTCGTTTAATTCTCAGCTCCAGTCCCAGTCGCTTCGAAAATTTCCACACTGTTGCCACTTGATAATCCCACTCACTTTAAGTGGAGTCCACTGTTGTCATGATCTGAAAAAAGTCCGTAAACACACATTTAGTTTATCAATCTCGACATTCAACAACAAACGAATTAACTGATAAGAATGTTACTAATTTCGTTTCTTGAAAAAGGCGCACCTTAAAACACTTTAAACCTGATTGTCAAGCTTCGAAGAACCTTAAGTCTATTTGAGGGCTCCCCAAACTCAAAATACATATTTACATTCAGATAATTTATGGAAGAATTCATATATTTACGGAAGTTGAGTTGGGAACCTGAAAATAATTCAAAATACATTGGGTGCCGATTTGGGCTAAATCGTCCTAGTCAAAAATACTTCTTAAGGAAATTGGGGTTTTTGAAAATGGGTCTTCAAAATCGACTCAAACATGACAATGCTTTTTTCGATGTTTCTCTAGCCTCATTTGAGCCACAGAATTCGTTTTGCCATCGTTGGATAGAGAATTGAAAATTCGATTCAGTCATAACAACATGGGTGAGGAAATTCGGGTAGTTTTGACCCAGAAAGCGAAATTTGAATATCAGACACTTAGGTGCAACGTTTTTGCCAAAATTCCATGTTTTCCGTCCCGTTTTTGCTCATTTTTCGGAAGCAAAATGAGCAAGAATGCTCATTTTTACATCATTCCAAAACGAACTAAATGGTCTTTTTAGAAAGTGAACCATCGATAAGGAAATGTAGGCAGTTTTCCCAAAAAAGTCTTGATTTCAAGAAGTTCAACATTTGCGTGTTTTTTTTTTTGAGTAGCAAAACCGGCTCAAACATGACGTTGCTTTTTTCGAAGTTTCTCAAGCTTCATTTGAGCCACAGAATTCGTTTTGCCATCGTTAGATAGAGAATTGAAAATTCGATTCAGTCATAACAACATAGGTGAGGAAATTCGGGTAGCTTTGACCCAGAAAGCGAAATTTGAACATCATACATTGGGCAGGGGCGGATTCAGCTTTCAACTCAGGGGGGCGTCATGTAGCAGAAATTCAGTCTTTTTTTCGTGAGTCCCCCTGAATCCGCCCTTGAGAGTAGAGTGTTTTTTGAACTTCGGTAGCCTCAAAATGTTTCAATTTTCGTTTGTAACTTTTTACCGGTTATCAATTTTTCTTGAAACCTACTTGGGGAATAGTAGGTAGTTCTTGACGCGGGCTATCGAAAAGGTCATTACAACTGATCTGATATTTCCCGCAGTTTCTGAGATAAAGGGTGTTTTATATTTGGCACGATTTTTCAGCTTTTCCTTCTATCTCTTCAGGTTAAAAATTTGTTATAAACACTAATTAGTGAATGACGCTTCTCGGGGCAGGACATCTAATAGATAGTTCTAATAGCTCGAGTCCATGACGACTTGAGCCGATTATTAGAACTGTTTCTAAGATATAGAGCGTGTCTTTGAAATTTGAAAGCGCCGAAAAATTTTCACATTTTTGGTTTCCTTTACCAGTTAGGAATTTCTGACCAACCAAATTAAGTAAAGATAGTTCTTAATGCCGGCTATCGAAAAAGTCATTACGACTGATTCGATATTTTAAATCCTTCCGAAGATAGAACGATTTGAAACATTTACACGACCAAAATCAGGAAAGGCCCAGCTAGGCGAGTAAAGGTAGTTTATTTAATGCTCTTTCGAAAATATCCTAACGACGCATTCGAAATTTTGAGCTACTTTCAAACAAACCGTTTTTGCCCTAGCTATAATCGCAATAAATTACATATTGAGTCATTAATCACAGTTGTTTAAAAGCTTTACTGCAGACGGATTTGCTTATATGCAATTAGTCAATTGTAATGGACGAGTAGCGGCATGTCGATATGCTGAAAACTTTACGAATAACATGACAAGTTGAGTTTGAATTGTAGGAAGTTGAGAAGAATATGATTAGCGTTATGAAGCAGGCTTGTTACACTTTAGCCAATTCTTAATATGTATTAATAAATACAAAATTCCAACTTTTCCTGGTGATTTAAAATGTTAAACATTTATTCTGTAACACATTTTTAAACAAACTTATTAGGAATAGAATTTTGAAATGTGAATCAATTTGATTGTAACGCAAAATCGTAATTTTCTGGTTTATCAGGCCATCGTGTTTACTTTTATTTACCAGTTTTAATGTATTTTATATCTTTGGAACATAATGTATTAGAAATTAATTAAGTATTTGAAAGATGAGCAGAAAGCATGAAAGAGAGATGAGATTTCATAAAGCAAAATTTATAAATTTTGCTTTTTTTCATCTAGGCCTTTGCCTAAGCTATTTAGGAAACTCATCAGGAACACAAAATCATTGTCCCGTATTAGTCAACAGGATGTCCAGATTGATAACTCAATGATCGTGATTGGGGCTGCGTTAGGAATACAGCAAATTTTATTTTTTACTGTCCTCCGATGTCCTTTTACTGTCCTAGATCTGTGCCTTGCCCCTTATGAGACGCCTTAGGAAGGTGTAGCACCTTGAAAAAGCAAAACACAATCATTGTCTCCATTGCGTATCAGTACCTACTTATCTACCCTGATTTATCAGCCATTGATTGTAGTCGGGATACGATTTAATCAATTGCTTACAAATTCCTACTATACTGTTAAATAATGAATAGGCTCTAAAGAAGGAAAAAATACCCCTAAGGAAGCGCCTTAGGAATGGGAAGTATTTTAGAAATAAAAAACCCAAAATCATTGCCTCCATTGGCCATCAGTATGCCCCGATTTATCGTTCATTGACTGTAGGTGTCTCCTAGTAGACTGTTAAAAAATAATAAAAAGGGTCTATATGAAAATGTATTTTCCGCCGTGAATATACGCCCACAAAAAATATCCATTAAGAAGCGCCTTAAAAAAAGGCAGTACCTTAGAAAAGCAAAACGCAAAATCATTGACTCCATTGGCCATCAGTTTGCCTTTACTACCCATTGATTGTAATTGGGCGTTTTGCATTAACCAATCGCTTACAAATTTTTACAAATTTCTACTAAATTGTTACATAACAATAAAAAGGGTCTACGTTAAAATGAATTTTTGCTTTAAATAGACTTTAAACTTTAAATTGGAAGCTGTTAAAACTGCAAACTAAAATGGCATCTTTTGTTATCTTATGGAAAAGTAGCGAGTTTCAATGAAGAAAACCGCTTTTCCACACGAAACACGAAAGAAAAGTCGTTAGTCTAAGAGATTATTTATAATATAAGCATATTGGTGACTTCCTAGAATTGGTGATAAACTTGGATTGGTGAAGAAATTGGTGATAAACTAGAAAATTACCAGCAAAATTACTGAATTTCTAAAATAAGCACTCAAATGCAAAAAAATATTATACAGATAAAAAATATAATTTATAAATATCATCTTTAAAAAGTTATTGCGGAACGTGCTCCAGAATGCATAAATTTGACAAGAGATCGGAAGCATAACCAAACTTTTTCGTTAGGTTTACAGGTTCGGTGGGAACAAGAATTTTCCAGACAAGACGGTTGATTCTGCAATAATAGAATAGTATTCTCGTTGCAATAGATACTAGGTATGTATTTTGTACAACTAAAATAAGAACAGTTAATACTTAATGAACACCATTTGAAACAGTCTTCTACAATCAGGATGATCATTAACTTTTAACATGAACTTGCAATTCATGGAGTCTTATTCACCCCTAATAATTAACAACTAGCGCCGCCACAGCAGACTTTTAGAATGAATAAGCGATTTACCATTTTGCTACACGATTAAAACTGAAACTCAACAACTTTCCAACGTTAAAAAATAGCTGTTTCGAACATCTCTTGAGATAATTGCAAAATTTGATGAGTTTCTTTCATTTGGCACCCGCAGGTTACTGTGTTCAGCAAGTATCGTATGCTAAACGTATCCAGCAACATCTCAATTCATACAATTTCAGAGGGTATTGACTATGCCCTCTGCAGCTTTGCAAATTGCTTTTAAATTAAGAAAAAACAAATGTATTTAAATGTTTACTAGAAGTATTGAGTTATGCGCCCAGTTTTTTTAGATAAAAGAAAATGGATTCCAAAAAACAAATTTTAGTAAATAGTATTATAAATTTCTTGCGAAATGAATTAACCGGAACTAGTTTGACTGACGAAAAAAAAGAGTCGTTGGAAGTGGCTGTGCAATGCTTAGAAACAACATTTGAAGTAGAAGAAGACCAAGAGGGCGTTGAAACAGTTGACCTTTTATCACTGATACAAGTTAAGCAAAAAGTTGAAGTGACTGCAGAAAAAACTGCAAAAGCAGAAGAGCATAAAACCAAAGGCAATGATTTCATGAAAAGCTGTAAATATCAAGAGGCAGTAGACGAATACTCAAAGTACGCATATTAATAGTTTGTTCGTTTGCACGACTGTAACGTGTAATTAATTTTAGGGCTATTGAATTAAACCCGTATAATGCTGTCTACTATTGCAATCGAGCCGCAGCATATACGAGACTGATGAAAGATCTTGATGCAATCAATGACTGCAATGAAGCCATCAAACTAGATCCAAGCTACGGGAAAGCTTATGGAAGATTGGGAATAGCGTATTCTAACTTAAACAAATACGATCTTGCTTATCAGGCTTACGAAACTGCTCTGAAATATGACCCAACTAACGCAATGTACGAAACTAATCTTAAAGTTGCACAAGAACGACTTGGCGCTAGCACAGGTAAATGTCACGTCTTGTCGATAATAAGTGATACATTCAAATTTCCCCCCAAGGTGCAACAGCCTCAGGAGCTAATGCTGGACCGATTCCAGCAGATCTGTCTGACTTTATAAACAATCCTAATATTATTAACATGGCTACACAGGTCCTGAGTGACCAGAACTTCCATAGCATGTAAGTTTTCCTATGAACATTTACATCATCTGGCTTAATAAATAAATTACTAAATAATCTTTCCACTTAGGATGTCCGCTTTAATAAACAACGTGTCCCTGAACAATGAAGGAATGCCCGGGGCAATAGAAACCATGATGCAAGCGTAAGTTCAATTGTGCTAACTCACTAACTTTCAATCTTAAACTAACCTGTAACTAAAAAATTTGTGGAATTGGTCTATAAACATTTTTTAATTGTAAATCGTCAAAAAGTTTACGAGTTGTTGTTTTTCCAGTGGTCAAGCGCTTGCTCAAAGGGTCGTAAACGAAGATCCGGATTTCTACAACAGAGTGGCCAGAAACGCTCAAGGCGGAAATCCTGACGGCGCAGATCCTCCAAATCCGAATTCAGAACCTAAAGGACCAGAGCCTGACAAGAAGGACGAAGGATCTGCATGAAAGAGACTAAAACGATAGGTATAAGTTTGACTGTTATTTCAAAACATTATTTTTGGGCTCTTAAAACAATATTTCGGAATGTAGGCATCAAATAAACGTCCAAAATATACAGCAATGAAACACTTGATTTAATGCAGTAATGATAAATTTCCAATTTGGTTTTAATGTTACAACGATTTTAAGTATTTACTAGTTACTTACTAGAGGGTTTAAATATTCCACTTGCAACAACAGGCGTAGAGACCAAAATGTCTGTTTTTAATGTTAAGGTTTTACTTAACAGTAAGGTAGTGTAAAGTTGTAATTTGGAAAAAGTGACAGTTTGTTTGAAGAGCGAAACAATAATATTTGTCTTGTAGAGAAATACAGTCTATTTTTTTGCTTTTGATGTAAGTTTATTTAAATATTTCTTAGGATTAGGTGTTTTTAAACATATAGACATTTTCCCGACGGAAAGTGTTTAAATGATTAGAAGAGGCATTAGATATTAGTCGTTCGTTATTACATTTCGTGAGTTTTTTATAACAAATAACAATAAAGATTGATACGTAAATTCGTGAAATAAAGTAGAATTTTAGATGATAAAAATTACTCATAAGTATTCGTTTTGATTATCTCACTTAGTGAGAGTTGTATGTATATTGGAAAATTTGTATAAAACGCTAGTTGTTCAAATAAAGATATGTTTAACAGTCAGGTTTTTTTACACATCCAAGGTGTATAACATCTCCTTTTCTTATTTCTTTGTATCGCAACAAAGAGAATCAGTACTGATGAATATTTGCGTAAATATATATTTTTTCAATTTTCCATTCATAGTAGAACTATCAAGGATTCTATATAAAATGTGGCTATCTATCTCGATATTATAGGCTGAAAATTTAATTTCGATAACAATCGAGTTTACACATTTTCTATATTTATGTACACTTGTCTCAGATTTATTTTTAGCTTTATAGGTGGGTCAGTACATACATATTAACCCAATTATTAAACACGAATTCAGACAGTTGCATCACACAGATGGGCTGCCATTTTCTGAAAAACACAATGTTCGTTTGTTTAAATAAACATTTCACCAGCGATTGCTGATAATATAAATATATATTTTTTTAGCTTATTTATTGGTATGTTTTATATGTTTTTCGCTTCAGTGTGGTAGTAAATTTTTATTCAAACTGCATTATTGATTGATTTGTAAAATATGCAAACATATATTAATGCAGCAATCAATTTAGCTTGAAGTGGATTTCGTCAAGTTTCAAAAGCTTCAGTAATTTTTATTTAAAAAATACAGTATAATATTCTAGGACTTTTCGAATCTGTTTAGTTTCGCATAAACTAAACTGGATGTTGAGTGTTGAATATAACAACGAAATTGTAAATTTAATACCAAGTTGAATTTCAAGACAATAAAATGACTAATGATGTCTAAAAAATAAAAAAAATCACCACATTTATTATTTAATGATCCTATTTCGTAATATTAGAAAATATCGAAAATCGTTTGGCCAATACACTAATGGAAGCTTCAATTAAAGCACGAATGATTCATAGTTGCACTTGTTACAAAGAATCAGCGTGGGTTGATTCAAATATTTTTGGCATTAATACCGGTCAGAGATGACCGATTTATGATTGTTAAACTCTATTTTTTACCTGGCCAAAGTGAAACTCTAGAATCCAATGAGCCAACAAATGCTGATCTTTGAACTCTCAGTTGCAAACGTTGTTCTACTAGAATTTTCCAATAACCACCAACTATTTTTGAACCAGATATTGCAGTTTGTTTATTCAAACAGCTTTTAAGACATGCGAGAAGATTAATAGTACGAAACTAAAAATGAAAAGTGAGTCAAATTTTGTTTGTCGAATCGGAAGTGGCTGATTAACTGCAACCTACATATCCCTCACATATTATACTAACATTTTATTTTGAGGACAATGTTTCATGTTCGATGTACGACGCCAAAATTCAAAGATTTTGCTGGGAAATTCAAGAAACTTTATTTTAACGGTGAATTTTTCACGGGCAACAAATAAACGAATTGAAGTGATAAAGGGCGACACGGCAAGTCTGTTTTGGACGGTTTATCCGCATAAAATACAGGGTGTTAGTAATAAAGCGTAAAAATTTGCGGATCCCAGTTCATATGAACTTTTTGCTTGTATATTAAGCATGGTTTTGCGGGTTTCTCTCAAAGTGCAAGCGCTGCGTTATTAAAAACTGTATGTTTTATATGCAAAAATAGAGCTAGCTGTCGGTATGCCTCTTAAATAATGACGTCTGATTTCGAAACTAATATTAGATGTTTACTTTTGCTTTTCATAATGGGCCAAGTGTTTTTGACGGCGTGATATTGTCACTATTTTGGTCGTAAGTGATTCGATAGAGCCTGCAGTTCAAATTTTTATGACTCATTATTTATTATTAAACTTTAAGCATGTACAGGTCGGCTCAAGAAACAAGAAAGTTGAAAAGTAAAGAGTTTTCCAAAAACGCTCGATACTTCTCACCAAGGACCCGGACCGAAACGAAATAACTGTTCCGTTCCGGTTTCGGTCCAAGGCAAAATTTAAAATTTCGTTTCATTTTGGTTCCAAAATCTATATATAACAACGAACGAGGACAAAGATACTCTAATTAGGAATATTACTATCTTTTTCCTTGCTTGTTGTATTATACAAGATAAAAGATGCGCAAACGATCCACTGCTTCATACGGTACTTCGGTTGGTTGTATGGTAGGGGGTAGGAGTGTAGGAGGACTAGCAACCCCACACAAGGATTGAAATTCAGGTAACATTAAATGGAACAACATTGCAATAAAGACTCCCATACAAAAATTAATTTAATCGTATTTTTGAAAAGTGATTTGTCAATGAATTTTCTGACTTTAGCGCTTTTCCCTTCTTTCCGTTTTCACTCAGGTCCACAACTTCGCCAATTCCTCTTCTTTCACTCTTATTTCCTTTTAAACATTGTTCTTCCTGGTTCATGTCTTCACCATCTTTTGAGGAATTGCTTTTGTCCAACATTTCAATTTCAAATGTTTCTTTGTTGGTGATCGAAAAATTAAAATAAATCATGCCGTGGTCTATGGGAATTTCTTCCTGACGTTTCGTCCACAACTGCGGTAAACATTATCAAAGACTAAGACAGTCTAAGACAGTCTTAGTCGGAAAGCACGGGAGATCACTTCGCCCACTGCCTCATCGCCTTTGATAATGTCCACCGCAGTTGTGGACGAAACGTCAGGAAGAAATTCCCATAGACCACGGGTTCAAAGCCCGGAAAACATTCCTAAATGTGATTTAACCGGCCGTGAAAGCCTTCATAGTCTGATAAAATAATTCAACTTAAAAAAGAATTTTAAAAATAGTGTATACACGTATGGTGCTTGTTCTTTTCGATTGAAAAGTCGGTTGGTCCTCACAAATAATTGTTCCTCTAAAATTCAAACGTTTCAAGCAGAACCGAAAAAACCGAATAAAATATTTCGGTTTCGGTTCAGCACCTAACAGTGTGTTAATATCAAATATGGGTTCAGTTACAGTTCCCGTCCAAAAAAAACTCGGTTCCGTTCCGGTTTTGGGTCCATATCGGTTCCGGTCCAGGTCCCTGCTTCTCACTGCTCAAATTTTCGTCAAAGAAATGTGGTTCAGTAACTGGATTATTAAATATTCCATCCCAAACTTTAACGGATAATCTTCTCAGAAACCGCGTTTCATGGGGGCTTTCTATCAACCACACATGAGAATTGTGGAAATTGTTGATTCCATTTCTTGTCCAATAAAAGGGCTCTTCAAATATGATCGTTTCACCATTCATAAAGCCGAGCTCTTTGAGAAAGATCCGGTGAAGGAAGTTATTCAACTGGTGACTGGTTAATAGATAATATCTCGGCATGGTTGTAGGCTTTATGTTAAATGAGGAATGGATAGAAAAATGAATTCCCATTCAAGCCTTAACAGCTCAAGATAATTGGGCGAAACAACTGGACAAAGAACTGTAGAGCGTAATTTAAAGAGAATTTCACGCATCAATCAATTGAATTGAAAATGAGTGCGCTATTTACAAGAAGATTTAAATTTAAATTAAGATTGAGTCTGCACTATTTGCAAATAGAATCGTTGTGAAATCCGTTCGCAAATGTTGGCCAGGGAAATTTACGCCATTAATATTCGCAATTAGGTGGCCTAGATAGAATCCGATATTAGTGAGAATCAATGTGAAAAAATAGATAATAATCCAATGTTTTTTTTTTAATAAAGCTGTGGTCTTACGAATTGGAAACGTCATTATACGGGGGCGTGGATAAGATATTTCAGTGGGCCGATATGTGATTCTTAAATTAGAACGCACACTATATTTAACCTGGACACTGTGTTAGCAGTTTGGAGTATGCAAATGACAACGTCGCTTTCAGGAAAAATATTTTTCTGGATCTTATGAAATGTTTTTTGATGCTATTTTCGACTGGAACTGATCAAATAAACCTCAAAAAATTTATTGTTAATAAACGCTTTATTCTTCTGTTCCCAATACGTGCCGGCGGTTAAGTGAAAAATAAAAGCGGTCGAGTCCAATAAATAATGAAATGAAACTGTGAAGAATGAATTAAATAATGGCTAGAACTCATGACTAAATTTTCAATTACAGCCCCCTATTAATTAATAATATAAAAGGAAGATACATAAAAAATCAAAAAGGGAATGAAAACGCCTAATATGAGATAGTTAATGGATGATGGATGCAAAGGCTCGTATCGCCACGATATGATAAAGCGGAGCTTTTAACTTAAAAATTGGTTAAAAAGCAGTTGCCAAACGTATTTTGATCGAATTATTAAAAAAGTCATATACCTATTCGAGATATTAATCTTTGAATTTTGGAAGTCACTTTCTCTTAAATTCATCGTTAAATTTACTTGGCTAAAGTTCGGCAATGATGAATATACCAAGAACGACATTATTACTTAAATTAATCAACAATTAAACTTAATTATTCGGGTTTCATTTTTATGGATGTTTAATTTGAAAATCTCTGATTTTTTGCGTATATAAATCCTACTCAGAAGCTGCTACATGCTTGTGATTAGATAAATAAAAAAAACAAGAGACAAGTTTTGTTGCTAGCCCATGAACAAAATTGAATATATTTTTATTTCTCTAGTTCCCGATCAAATGAATGCTAATTAGACGCTACAGCATCTGAGTAGCAACTGTCCGTGCAAAGAAATCAGCGCATTTCAAAGTTAAGCGTCGATAAATTATTAAAATAAAACCCAAGACTAGACAAGATATAAAACAGATCCAGACAACAACTAGACACAATCCCTATGAGAAAAGCAGTGAGCAATACTCGCATAGTGTCATCCTTAACGTAGGTTCTGTTCCAAGTTCAATGCATAGATAAATGATTAGTAATAGCCTAAATAAATACCCATAATAACTTTTGTACTATTAAATCGCAAATGGCAAAGGTGCTTGTAAACAAAATAAATGCCATTATTAATCAGACTGTTGATGAGTCATTAAAGTAAATATAATAACAGAATAAATGGTATGTTTGTTGGTCACAATCTAGTTCAATCATCTGCCAAATTGTATTTAGCATCACTCAAAAATGTATCCAGCCCAACGCTTCAGTTCCATTGAACTGCGGGACCATACATAAGAAATGACACTGATTAA